GACGCTGCTGCTAGACAAGGGCGCCGACGTCAACGCGCAGGGTGGAAAGTACGGCAACGCACTCCAGGCGGCTTTAGAAAGAGGCGACAAAGAGATTGCGGCGCTGCTGCAAACTCGCAGCGCATCAAGAGCATCTGAGTTGCTGTGTATTAGTTGAATTTAGTACATACTGTTGTCAACTGATAATTTTGTCTGGTGCATTACCGTTAACATAGAACCCTAGGAGGCTTTGTGATAATCTAGACCCTAAAGAGCTTGCTATTGTACAGCAGTCAGAGTTTAAGTAAGTTATCACAGTAGATTATCACATACACTGATTGCGAACTAATTCAGGCAACAAGAGCTAGCTTGTAACCTTGAAGGCCTACCTCCAGGTGACACTCACGTTTAAGGCCTGACTCGTGTTTTTCCTGTGGTTTGGTCTGTTCTTGCTTCCACTTTGGGCCTTAGTTCAGTTCCTACCCCTTTTATTCCCTGTTTAGGCTTAGCCCAAGCTTAAAGCAGAACTGCTAGACGTGCTCAAGAACTCTGCCTGCAGCAGCGATATTGCCTTCTAATTATCTTCGCATGTATCTGCAAGTCTCTGAGTGGGAGGCCACGCCTCCTCTAATTCGTCTGTCCTGCCATGCCTACCGTGTCCGTGCACCCAACGATCGGAGTCAACCAACGATCAGGGCACAACATTTGCAGTAGATTTCAACGCGTAAAAACTCAACCACCATGACAGGAATTTTAGATGCGCTTGCAGAGATTGATAATCTGAAGCTAGGCGACAAACTTGTATATACAAAGCTTGCAGAAAAACACAGTATTAATCGCAACACATTGTCCTGTGCGCACTAAGGTGTGCAGGCTCCCTAACGCGTCACTAACAAGAACTAACAGAAACTTAGCAACTAACAGGAATTAGATCTAGTTAAGTATATAGAGGAGCTGTCAGCGCGTCACTTACTACCTACAAGGCGTACAGTACAGAATTTCGCATCCTCTGTTGCCTTACAGTCCTGCTCTAATAGCTGGGTTCAGCGCTTCCTGCACCGTCATCGGAATCAGCTCACGTCCTAATGGGCCACTGGCATGGACTCTAATTGCCATAACGCTAAGTCAGCGTACAATTACAAGTTGTACTTTAAGCTTCTGCAGCTGAAGATTACTTAATATAACATTGCGCCAGAAAACACTCTCCGTATGAACAGCTGCGCATATGGCCCCGGAGGGGGCATCTGTGCGCGAACCCTGCATCCTGATTGGCTAGCTAGCCCTCGCCTCACGAAAACCCGCCAAGCCCAGGGCCATCTGCGCGGGGCCATCTGCGCGCGATCAAACCCTGCAACCCTGATTGGCTAGCTAGCCCTCGGCTCACGAAAACCCGCCAGGCCCAGGGCCATCTGCGCAGGGCCATCTGCGCACAAACCATACAGCGCCTCACAGTTGCAACAGAGCGCCTTCCTCTGCTGCCAAGCAGCGCAGCAGGGTGCTGATGACAACCATCCCGACACCACCACCACTACCCCTACCACCACTAGCAGCAGCAGCAGCAACCGTACAAGCTGTAGCTTGATCACCACCAGCTACACCTGGATTAAGAAGCACACTAACCAGCAGCACAGCACCCAGCTCTCTCGCTGGTCTACCCCTTCTGCAGCCTCGTACGAAGCGCACGCTGGCCAGCTCTGGAAGCCTGTTCAGGTGCAG